GGTGTACATGAGACAGTTCACAGAGTAGCAAACGATAGTCCAAAAATATTCTGCATTTTCGGCGATTAATCATCGTTCCACCGGGTGTGCCATAAACCTGTATGTCTCTGAGCGCATTACATTTTCTTGTCCTTTGTAATGCATAACCTTCGGATTATGAATGAATGAAACCTGCGTTTCCGTGTCATTGGCTTAATGCTGCTCGGCGTAGAGACCGCTTGAGTCGTCTTCGTCGTATTCATAATACAATTGATGAGGGGAAACGTTTGGATCAATAGAATGTGACGCCAAGCGAATTGCTCTAAGGGCAATGACACATCTCGGGAGCATAGTGACATTTCCCGCAGATCAGCCGTGGTGATGATTCTAAGGGTTGACGCAGTCTGACAGTCCAGAGGAGGGGTCACATGCCAGATGTAGGTCGGTACGTCGTGGGCCATAACTGGTTAACTATCCCAGTGAACACTGTTCTTATCAATCGATGAAAAGCAAACTTTTTGTACTTGCAATTTAAATGTGGTATTTTTTTTTTGTCTCGAATGAACGTGTTCTCGTTGGCCGTGGCCACCCTCGGTACTAAGGTCTTCATCCAGTGTCATCAGAGAGACGCCGTGTCGGACTAAGGAGTAGCCTCTTCTCTTCCAGGCTTCACCTGTGTCTTCCGGTACGGATTACACTTGCCGGACTTGTTTTTTTTTAAAAAAACAGTTCTGCCACTTTAATCGTTGCGAAGCCAATTATTCCCTCCTGACTTGTAACACTGGCGGTGCTGGAGGTAATTCTTTCCTCCCGGAAGTTCCGTTGTCGTTGCGAGCCCCTGCCGTTCGTTCCAGAAACTGTCCCGCCTCAGATTGTCCGGGTGCCAGCTCTTTCCATTCCCCGGCCTCCGCGAAGCTATTTTCAGAAACTGGAGTAGGCCTTCGTGCCATGTTCCATCTGTCCTGTCACAAAGCTACGTGGCGCGTGTCCCTGCCAGTTCTCGGTCGTCTCTCAACAAGTGAGCATCATCACTTCGTAGTGTGTTGTTGTTTGCTCAGTTGGTAACATTGTTGTAACGTTGTCACGTGTCTCGTGTCTATTGTGGGCGAGTTGCAGTCATTCACAAGCTGACGCAGTGTGGGAAACATGTAAACAAACGCGAGCTGCATTAAAGCCGCTAGGAATAATACACACACGAAGAAATATGGCTTATAAACGCGATTTGTACTCAATTTAAGTGTCTTGGCTCTGTACATATTTTCTCGTGCACACAAATTACTCAGGAACTTGGCATAACCATTTATGATGTGAATCGACGTTGGCGTCTGTTAGAGATGGGATATTTTCAGACTGTTGCCACTACGGAAACTGAGGCCATTGCTTATAAAATAGGCCACGGCGTGAACTTGTGCTCATTATTCGCCGTCTTGCAAAAGAAGGTGTTTAGACTACGTCTTGCTGGGACCTGAAGTTTTCGTTGCCTTGGTTACGGAGCATATCTTATAAATCAGAGAACGCGCTCAGTTTAGAACTTTGGTGTGAAATTGAGCTGCAACTTCGTTTCGAGTCCTTAGTGCGCTTTTTGCTTGCCGAAACGTCCTCGTGGCCAGCTTCGAAACGTTAAAATTAATTGCGATACGTGTTGAGTTACGTGGCACTTCGATGGGATATCTTGTTGATCGTTGGGAGAAAATTTAGACGCAAAGAGCATTGGCACTTGTTGAGCTAAAAATATCCCGCGCTGCTTTCGAGTCGCAGGGAAATGAACTTAAAATTTAAAGCATCTTAGCGCTTTGAGTCCTTTTTACTATTTTTAAGTGTTTAATTTCATGTCTGTCCGTTTGATGGTTTCTGCCTCGTCCTTTCGCACGTTTTGTGTTGATCAGAACGCCGATTGGTTATCATTAAAACTGTAGCAACAATTAATGGCATTACGAGCTAGTAACAGAAATGTTTCGAGCGTAACTCCACGTCCTCAGGCTTGAATCGTTCTTGTAGAACTTTGTCTGCCGAGGAAAATGCCCATTGGATGCCCGGAAGAGATAAGACACCAACGGCGTCGTTAACACCGCCTCGAAGCTGCTAAAGCGAACAAGCAACTTCAGAATCCGACTCGAGTCTCGGCCGCATTGTTTGACGATGCTCCGATCACAAATGCACCACTGAAATTAAGGTTTTTGGACTGCGGTGTGTAGTTACTCTAATTCGTGCAAGACGGCGCAGCAGATGGTCGCATTCGTCCATTTCTTTCACTGGAGACTCGCGAAGAAGCAGGTGTCCCCCCGGGGGGAGGGGGGGGGTGTCCCATTGTCTCTATAAAAATGCAGCCCACTTCATTGAAGTTCTTTCGGTTCAGTTGAACAGCTCGTGGGTGGTCAGGAAACCTAGAAGAATGTTTTTCG